GTTTCCAGAAGAAGAGTCCTAAAGGAGCTGAGGAAGGCGGGGAGGTTTTTCTAGAGAATAGCACGTGCAAAGGTCTAGGGATAAGAAACCACAGCACTCATCAAGGGATCTGCACATTTTCCATCATGGCTAAAATGTAGAGTGGTGTCAGCACAGAGAAATGATACTGGAGGAGCAAGAAGGGATGAGATCATGAAGGCTAGAAGCAGATAAAGGATTTTATCAACAGATTTGTATTTCAGAAAGATCACCCTGTGGAATACGGAGGGGCAATGCTGGAGGTAAGCAAGCCAATGACCATCCTCTGGCCATATAATCCATGTGAGAAACGGTGAGATCCAAACTAAGAAAGTAACATTAAAGAAGGGAAGGGAATCGGATTCAGACTAGATCCACTAGCACTGGATCCCTACTGAACATGGGGAACAAGGAGGAGGGTGGAAGCAAGGCTGACTGCCAGGTTTGAAGCACGGGTGGGTGATGCCTCATAATATAGAACACTAGAAAAGAATAGGGCCATGATGGTACAGAAATGATGAGTTTACTCTGGGCCATGCTGAGACTGAGGGACTCACCGTTAGATGTGAAAATATGGAACGTATGTTTTCTGATTTTTCCAAAGAAGTTGTTATACCTTATCTCTCTTGTCCAGGGCTGTCTTTCATTCTCTTAAGCTATACAGACCATCCCCAACTTACGATGGTTCAACTTTACGATAATGTGAAAGCAACATGTATCCAGTAGAAACTGTACATCAGATTTTGAATGTTGATCTTTCTCTGGGCTAAAAACATGCTGGTAAAAGCAGCTTACCAGCACCTCCCACTCAGCCACATGATCATGAGGGTAAACAACCGATACTATTCAGTGCACTGTGTTGCCAGCGTTCTTTGGATATTGTGTTCTGAGGAAGTCAAGTGTATCAAATATATTTTCAACTTACAGTATTTTCAACTTACTATGGGTTTATCAGGATGTAACCCCATAGTAAGTCAAGTAGCATCTCTATATAAATGTGCTTTCAAAATACAATGGAAAAAAAGAAACAATCCTTGAACTGCAATTTGGATGGTCAAGAGACACAGATTCTCTCTAAAGTGAGAAATCACCTCTTTCTTCATAAGAGTACTGTAGAATGGGTTCTGCTTTGACTCTTCTTTCTCTTAAAAGCTTTATGAACTTGGACAAGTCATTTAACTTCTCTATATGCCTCAGCTTTCTTTTCTGCAAAATGGAAACAACAGTATCCACCATGTAATTATTATGGTAATTAAATTAATACGCATAACACACTTAAAACAGCACCTAGAACATGTGAAGTGTTACAAGTTCTTATTCTGTTGCTGCTAATGATCCCTCTCCTGAGGATGATGCGTCCTCTCCCCAAACATACTGTTGTTAAATACTTTTATGAGTGCTTTATTGTTTATCAATTGCTTCACGTGAATGTTTCTTTTGTTCTTCACAATCCCCAATGTCAATGTCAAATGACTTGTTCAAGGTACAACATTAGTGGCAAATCTGGAATTCCAACTAAGGGCCTATAACTCTAGAGCTGTGATTTTCTTTAAATTGAGGGAAATAGCCAATTCTTAATTATTCTAAGCTATATGTCTATATGGTAGCTCTTGATCACTTTTTTTTAATACATTTAATAAAAAGGCCAAATATAACTTTGCTATTCATAGCAACAACTATTTCCAAGTTTGTTGGGAATGAAATAAAAAAATGAATCATTAAAATAAGATTTGGGGACTACATAAGAGCCTATTACCACCAATAATTGGGCTTGCTGTGAATTAACTACGATTACACTCTGAGATATTCTTCCCTACCCCATCCAGAGTGCCTTCCCATATTTTACATGATGAAGGATCCTTAGAATCGTGTTTTCTCTCTAGTTTCAATCTAAAATTTCCATTTCTCCTTTCCATTCCATTTTCCTCCTATCACACTAAATAAGTCTTCCTTCTTGGTATTTGGCCCCTCAAATATTTGTAGACCAAGGCTAAAGAAAAGGTTGCCTGTTCCTCAGAGAGTGGAGAAATGATTAAACAGCAGTTCATGCATGTGAAAGTTGGCCCAGCTCTGCCAGGCGAGAGAGGGCCTGGAGAAAAGTGTTGAGCAAGAGCTGGGGTGACAAGTTAACACTGCCACAGAGACCAGCAATGACTGAGGAGTGATTATAAAGCCCTTGGCATGGCAAGCCATGGGTGTTGTATACATAGCTGTTAAATATCATACCATAAATTTTCTTCAATACATGATTTCTATGTTTCTGAGATAAAGTATTTTTAACTAACAGAAATTCATCAGACTCATGCATTCTTTTTTTCCTATTGCTCCCAAAAGGATTTGTTCTTAAGCCTAAGGTCCAGTTCGATTTGTATAAAATGAAACAGTACACTTATATATTCAGAAGATGTGCTTTTCCAGTTAGTTCCTGCTGTGAAGCTTGTTTTCCAGGGCCAAACTGATCAAAAGTTCTAGGCTATATCTGCAGTGACCAACATACCATATCAAAAAACACACGAACAAAAAAAAAATGTCAATTTGCTATAACAATGATAATCACAGTAAAACAGCTATAGCAGCGGCAGCACTTTGTTAAGGGCCATGTACCATGTAGTATATACACTATTTAATTTCACCTTCACCGTTCCTGTGAAACGTGGACGTATTGTCCCCATGTTACAGGTCAGAAAGCTTTCAATCAAAAAGGTTATATCATTTCCCTACAATAACAGTTGATATGAGGCAGAGTCAAGATTCAACAACCGGTCTGTCCAACTCCTAGCCCATACTCTTTACTCACCATAGTAAAGATTTGACTAAATCGTTAATTAACTGACTGAAGGACTAAATTGAACTGAATTCTCAGATAAAGCAGTTCCGCATGTGGCCACAACTCTATAGTAAATATAAAATGTGGAAAAGAAAAAAATTAATGTGAATTTATTAGTAATGGTTAGGATATGATCTTTTCCTTATAAATACATGTTTGCCCTCAGTATTTCAAAAGCAAAAAGTAGTTTGAAGCAACACTCCATTTCAATAAGACTTCGCTTTGTAAAATGTCCTTAACTTGTTTGTGGACTCATAATATACCACGAGGGAACAGATCCATGTGAATGGTAGGATTTGAAAGATACTCCTGGCATTGAAGGAATGTGAAAAGTGGTCCCATTTTATTTAGGATAACCTCTTTTTTACAGTCTGCTGGATTCTAGTAATAAGACATAGGGACTCTGTTTATACCTGGAGTAACAAAAAAACAAACAAACAAAAAAAATCCTGCTTCGTCAACTGTCATATCCCCCTGAACCAAGGAGTATATTTGCATCATAAATTCAACTGGCCACATGTGGTAGTTCCTAAGTAGTTCCAGGTGCCTGACAGTTTGACCCAGGATAGGGAATGTAATTTTCAGCAAGCTGGCCTTAGAAACCAAGGGGGACCCTTCAGGCTAACATACACCCCTCCATTCCCCATCCCCATCTCCCCATCAGCTCCCTCCTGCCACTACAGCCTGATTCACACTGAAGGTTATGGTAAAGGGAGGGGGGAAGGGAGACCACTACTAAAATACAGTTCCAACTATCATCTACTCCTACTTATTTTTCTAGCAAGGGTGCTGTCAGCAAAGCAGATATTGTGGCATTTTAAAGCAGCTCAGAAATCAGGTCCCATGGACTGACAAATTGTTTCCATGCATGTCCTATTTGAGTACTTCAATAAGGCACTTGTTCTGCGTTTGGTCCACGATGATAGGTAACTCAGGGACACTTAAGAAAACTGCTTCCCTTTTGGGGAGTCCACTTCATAGTTGATGTGGAGGCCTTACCAACGCATTGTATTTCTGAAACTGATGTTGAATAACACTGTATGTCAACTATAATTATATATACATATAACCTCGGGACACGNAAAAAAAAAAATCTTTAAAAAAAAAATCATGATGCGCTATCACTACACAACTATTAAAATGTCTAAAATTTAAAAAGAAACTGATAATACCAATTGTTAGCAAGGATGTGGAGCAACTGGAACTCTTACACATTGCTAGTACAAAACTGAACAGTTATTTTGGAAACAGTTTGGCAGTGTTTTACAAATTTAAACGTACCTTTACCAAATAAACTAGTAATCCTACTCCTAGATATTTCATCTAAAGAAATGAAAACATGTTCATGCAAACACCTGTGCACAAATAATTACTGTAGCTCTATTCATAATTGACAAAAACTGGAAACAACCCAAATAGACTTCGAAGTGTACATGGATAAACAAATGGTAGCACACCTAAGTAATAAAATATTCAGCAATTATAACAAATGGACTATTGATACATGCAACAGCTTGGATGAATCAAAGGCATTCTACAGAGTGAACGAAGCCAATCTCAAAAGGGTACATAATCTATCATTCCATTTATATAACAATCTCAAAAAGACAAAACTATACTAATGGGGAATAGAACAGAGATGCCCAGTGGTTAGCATGAGAGAAGCTTGTAATTATAAAGAGATAGCATGAGGAAGTTTTTTTTGAGGTGATAGAACTGTTCTGTATCCTGATTGTAGACATAAGTCTATACATGCATTAAAATTCATAGAATTCATTAAAATTCATAGGCTTTTTAATGAGCAAAAGATCAATTTTATTACATGCTAATTTTATAAAAATAAATTTTAAGATATTTATACCTTTACTTTTAAAATGTAAGGCCCACTAAACTGTTGTCTGTGTCTATGAGTTTTTATTTGTCTTGTTCACTGTTGCTTTCAGGGTAAACATACAATGTGATATATAGATGGTGTATTATAGACTTGTACACTTGAAACTTATTATTTTATTAACCATTGTCACCCCAATAAATTTAGTTAAAAAAAGAAAAAAAATGTAAGGCCCAAAACTCCCTAAATAAGACTTCAGTATCTAGGTTACATCAAAGATTAATTTGACCACAAAAAAACTCAGGAAGATAGTGATATACTCACCACTGCTTGCCCCTCTACAGTTTCCATTACTAGAATCCATAGGAAAATCTGAAAGGTGACAGAATAAAGTAAGAATCATAACATATTTGTTATTATTTCAAGATATTCCATATAAAAAATCTAATTCAGTCACAAGTTTGATTTGGGTAAGAACCCAGGTGTCTCAAGGAAATGGATTATTAGTGTAGTGAGGTTGGCACGCTATCATTTATTAAGTCAAATAAGGATATGATGTACTCTTTCATAGGTTGGAATGGTAATATACTCTTATGAATCCTCATCAACTGCATAAAATTTCAGGATTTTATAAAGTTTTTGATTTTCACTAAATTTGTGAATTACCAACATCCTATCACAGTAAAGCCCATACACATATTAGGCACTTGCCCAACACTTGTCTCTTGATGACTAAGAAAACCAAACACACCTCTTCAATGAATAAATGTATCACACTGTAATGGCATACATCTAAAATTTTGCCACCTAAGGAAAACATTCAGAAAGTACTTTTGTGCTCTTTGCTAACTGTAGACTAAACAGTTCTTCAGCAGAAAGGAAATTTATCATTCAGGGACTACTCAAGCCAGTGCAATTAATAGACGTGGTAATAAGTGGGAATTGTCATTGACTCTTTTCATGATCCCATAATCCCAGAAAATGGTAGTAATAAAAGATGATAAATGGTAATGATAGAAAATTCTTCTGTGTTCTATTTAAGAAAGCAATATCTAATGAATAACACTGAGTGCCTCCCAAAGTCCCATGCTGAGGTGCTGTATATCCCTAGGTATATATTATTATTGACACTACAACTCAGTACTTTTATATGAGTTTTATATTTGTATTAACACCTTATGTTAAATGAGTTTAATGCCTGTGTTTATCCTAGAAAATGTTTTTTCTGTTCTTTTTCTTCATAGGTCATATCATGAATAAATCAAACAAGAAAGTGTTAATCCATTTTAGGCAAATAGCAACCAAAATTACAATTAATGAATTAGTAATCATCAGCTAGTACTTAAAAAAGCTATATCTGGGCAGACTGAGTGGCTTGTTGGTTAAGAGTTGGCTTGAGAGGGTGAGCTCTGAGCAGCAAGACCGCCGGTTCGGATCCTACATGAGGGCCAGTGACATTGCGCCCTCTACAGCTAAGATGGTGAACAACAGCTCAACCTGGAGCTGGGCTGCCGTGAGTCACCGGCGACGGCTAGGCTGCAGCCCCTGCTG